TTCATTTTTTGCTGGACCCTTAGCTGGTCCTCGCACGGCCGGGCCGCCCTGTCAAACAAGGATACCCGGGCGGCCCGGCTGATAGCCCAGGTTTTGTTTTTTTGTTTTTTTTTTGTTGAGACCTTCCCTGGTCCTTGAACGACCGGGCCACCCGGGAAAACAAGGTGACCCGGGCGGGCCGGCTGTTAGCCTAGTTTATTATTTATTTACTTCTCTATTACATTTAATAATATTCATTTTACTATTTTTGAGCAGCTTGAAAAGCACCTACTCAAATTAAAAAAACTCACCAGCAAAGCAACTACCGTCTTCCCCCGAACACAACGCAACCTCATTTTGACTGTACCGGGCCGGAAACATACGTTGTATACGTTCATATTCAGGGTGCGTTATATTCGGGGGAAGACAGTAGTGCCTGGCAGACATACGAATTTGTTTAGTTATTATTTCTTTTTTTGACTGCCATGCTTTTCAACAACCCTTTCCTCCGGGGGCGAGGTCCCACTAGCAAAGAGAATTGGATTGAACACCTGAATCTGGACTTGGGTTGTGGAAAGGTGCAGAATGTCGAGATTGAACTGCTTTTCCGCATCTCTGCTTAAAACAACGTCCAGATTCAGGATATTTATCCAACCCTCTTTGCTAGTGGGACCTCACCCCGGGGCTGTCCGCACCATGCCTCCTACGTTAATTAAAAAAACATGTTTCGTATAATATAACGTTACTTTAAATTTAAAAAAAACATGTACTACATAATATAACGTGTTATATTTTACTTCCAGCATGGACGGAAAAAAAACTTACTTCCGTTCTATGTTCTCTTCTCTTGGGTGGTCGGCCGGGAAGGTGGGGGGGGGGGGGGGGGGGGGGGGGGGGGGGGGGGGGGGGGGGAGGGACGTAAAAAGGAACATTATTCGTAGGGAGATAGACATCACGCCCGTCGGAGTTGGACCAATACAAATAAAAGACTAATGCATGACCCCTGCAAAGGATGGCACCCGAAAAAAAAAAAAAAAAAAAAAAAAAAAGCATCACATCCATAGGCTCGGGGTTCATTAACACCGTTGTATTTTGTACTCCCTTCGCCTTTCTTTTTTTCCCTTCGCCCTCCTTTTTTCCCCTTCACTTTTTTTTTTTCCCTTTTGCCTTTTCACGGAGGTCAATCGTCTACGCTGCCCAACTTTTACGAGGTTCGACCCCAATTTCATAGAGAACCATGATGATATGCTTGCAGGGGTACCCTGTACAGGCTTGAGGAAGTAGTGAGGTAGTCAAAGGGGCAAAAAGAAAGGAACGAGAAACAGAAAAAAACGATGCCGCCTCCTCCTAATCCTCCGAATTCTCTTATTTTTCCCAACCCGTGGGAGCTGGCAAAATGAAATCAGTACATAGGGGCCCGACGCGTTTCACCTACTCTCTTCCCCCGAATAGAAGCACTGTCATTATACCTGTATTTGTCACAAATTTCGGTCTATTGCAGCGATAATGACCGTGCGTTCTATTCGGAGCAAGATGGTAGTCGCCAGCAGTTTCCCCTAATTACAATTACTACTCGTCCACTCCGCCTCCAAATCTCAGTACTATGAACTTCGTAGTCTCCCCCCATTCCGTCTTCTTTTATGACCCTCTTACATCTCCCCATCTCCCCATTTCGTTCTGATTTTATTCCTTGCCTCTCTCCCCGTTGTGTTCGTGTTCCAACTCCCCGCCACCGCAAGTCCACTCTCTCTCTCTCTCTCTCTCTCTCTCTCTCTCTCTCTCTCTCTCTCTCTCTCTGTGTACTACCTTCCAAGAAACCCTCCTCTCTTTCCTCACAACCTATCCTTCCCTTCTCGGCTTGTTTCTCTTCTTCCTCTCGTCCTCTTCATCTTCAGCCTCCATTCCCTCCTATTCTCCTCCTCTCCCTCTTTACCTCCTAATTTAATACATCGCTGCAAAAGACCTAAGACGGCCTCTCGAGACATCATGGTCGATTCAACAATGTTATGAGCTACCGCTTTCGCGAGGGTTGGGGGGGAAGGGAGGAGGGAGGAAGTAGGGCGGAAGCTCCTCTGTTGAAAATGACACCCTACTATGCCACCTACTTCATTGGATCCTCCGAACGTCTATCCGATATGCATCCATGTGAAAGAACTTCCATACGATTACGTACACATTTTCCGCCACGTGTCACGTGGAAAACGTTTACCATGCATCCACGTGAAAGGAGCTTCCATCCGATTACATAAACATTTCCCGCCACGTCTCACGTGGAAAATGTTTACTTTTAATCGGATGAAAGTTCTTTCACATGGATGCATATCGGATGAACGTTCGGTCACCTCACATTGTGAATGACGTGTCACCCAAACGTCTGACAGTCGGCTACGTGCCGACCACCTCCTGACCACACATTGGCTGCGTTCTCGCGCACTTGTTTGCCACATGTTGCGGCATATCGGCCTCGTGTGATCGCCACGTGGCTCACAATCGGCCGGGATCACATTTCTGTAAATGGCCACGTGCCACACATTTGGCCGCCATGTGCCACACATTTGGCCACCACGTGGTGCACATTTGGCCACCACGTGGTGCAAATTTGGCTACCACGTGGTGCAAATTTGGCCGCCAAGTAGCGGACAAGTTGCCGCCACGTGCCCGGCAACCGGTCGGGTGTATCGTTCCCGGAGACTAGATGTCAAAGTCGGGACCAGATCGGCCAACGTCGCGAGGATCACGTCGCTCAGTCGGCCACGTGTCAAACTCACCAAGGTACGGGGCGGGTCCTTCATGTAGCTAGGGTTATGTCAGACAGTAGGGGGTCCGCTAGACGACAAATGAGGGTTCCTTTCAATTCCCCGCCTCAAGTGCCCAAGGGCCATGTCGAGTCCAAAACCATTTTGAGCCACTAAAAGTATCGGGATCCTGAGGCACGCATGCAAAAGACGAAAGCAGTGGGTCTGGGAGGGGACGTGATGAAGATCGGATGACGTGGTGAATGTCCTCGAAGATGATCCGATGGAGACTGGATAAGGTAGGATTAGAAAGACAGGGAGGTGAGAGAGGAGGAAGAAGAAAACGCCAGGAAAACACATTAGGGTTTTGATACTGTACGGCGGTTATGCGGCAGTGATCAACCGCTCCTCGCTCGATGGCACGTGCACAGAGCTACCGGTAGTGAGACTTATCATAATAAAATATTGGCGTGTTCCGAATACCACTATCTATCCATCTATCTATCTATTTATCTACCTCTCTATCTATCTATCTATCTATCTATCTATCTATCTATCTATCTATATCCATCTATCTATCTATCTATCCAGATGCGATGATGCAGTAAACCGCCTTCTTACCAAAACTCCCAGCTCTGCTCTACGGTTTAGCTCAAATCAAACAAAGGGCCACACTCACCACCGGTGCAAGAGTCGAAACCTCAGAGAATGGTAGTGAATGATTCCATAACCGTTCACTCGGCCAGGCTTCGATATTCGGGTTCCGCACAACTGCGCCGTTCAGGCTCTGGAGGGAATTACATTAACGAAAGCGCATTTGTCAAACAACACACGCGTGGAGGTTGCCCCCGTTCACCCCGTACGCGTCGTGCACGTGGCACTCGCTATACAGTTGCAAGCAAGCAACACTCACATGCGAGTAACTCCTCTCTCTCTCTCTCTCTCTCTCTCTCTCTCTCTCTCTCTCTCTCTCTTTCTCTCTCGCTCGCTCGCTCGCTCGCTCGCGCGCAGCACTCTCCATTCGGTATCCGTCTCCCTCGAGATATTCATTCCTGATTTAGCGAGCATGAGGGGTTTACGTACGTGAGAGCAAACTCGCTCAACGAGAGCCTGAAGAAAGCGTTTAATCGCGAATACATCATCACATAGATATCAGAGCGCAAAAGCGAAAAAAACAACAAAAATCAATTCATTTTTTATCTTCCTACTTACAACTCCCCCCGTTCAAAACCTCTTGCGTACAAGGCCGCCCACGTATATATGGACATATATATTTGTGACTGCAGACGCATGCACGTTGACTGCCACTCGCATGATTTAACTCGCGACTGAAATAGGACAGCAATCACAGTCAAGAAAGAACAAGGGGACTGCGGGCGGGGGAGGGGGGGGGGGGGGGGAARGGGGKGAGGGGGGCAAGGAGGGGAGAGGGGAACATAAGAGCAAATTCGAAAATGTGCTGAACGCGGTGGCAAAAATGCCCGCGAGGCATTCGAACGAACGCATTGACGACTAACCAGGCACCGGGAAAGGGGCACAATGGGAGAGAGAGCGAGAGAGAGATTAGAAAAGGAAGATGGCAGGAAACAGCAGAGGAGAAAGGAAATTGAGACAGCCATAGCAAAGGTAACTGGACGCCCTTCGAGACGATCGCATCTTCCCTCACATAGAGCACATCGTGGCTCTATTGAAGAAGGTTTTCGGTCGGGTACAGCCCTCTTAGGTCGACGCATCGTAATGGTTCCCAAAGGAACGGCCGTTGCTAGTGTTTCACCTCTCAATACGTGCGCATCTTTCCGATCTCCATTAGGATAGAAAAAAAGAACAACCACACACTAACACACAGGAACAGCCAAACAGTAACGAATCGATCGTTGATAATCGTAGATTTGTTATATCAACAGCTCCGATGATGATGCAGCAGCGTACGACTCCAGTGCAGTTCTGCTGTGGAACGAAGCCATGTGCCCTCGAGAGCCAAAGACACGGGCAGACACCCAAGGAGGAAGAACTAGACAGAAGAGACAGGAAACGAAGAAAGGCTGGGGAGGCAGATTACGAAAGGAAAAGGAGGATATTAACGAGAGGAAACATGCACTTCAACAGCACAACACCCCCCCACTCTCCTCCTTTCCACCCAACTTCGACACCACCGCCCCCCGCATCTCGGGGTGCTTTTCCCACCCGCATAACTGTAAGGCAAGTTCCCATTGAAAGACTTGACATAGAAATTGCTGGGTTTTTACTCTTTTCAGATCAAAATCGCCGGGCCCCGCAATTGCTTACCTGCTTGAAGACATCTTTGATGACGGCACCGTCCTTGAGCAGCTGTCCAGACACGATGAGTTTCTGACACGCAGGATCGGGATGGCCAGCGTAATCGCGCTGCAAGCGCTGCTTCACTGCCCCAACGGTCGCCTCCACAGGCATCTCCATTCGGAAGTCTGAAGGCGCCACCGGCGACTGATTCTTAATTAGCAGCGTAATGACAGAACCACCACCTCCTCCACCTCCTGCTACCTTCGTCGATCCCTCGACGCCATATGGCCCCGGATCACCCATTTTCTAGTTCCCCTTGCACAGCACCAGTCAATCTTCCTCCCTTCGTATCCCCACTACGGTGGCCACGCAGCACTCACGTCGTTCTCACCGCCGCATGCAGAGGATGAGACCACATCAAATCGATCGCCAAGCGACGTTCCTGACGATGCCTCCCCCCTCCGTCTCTCTCTCTCTCTCTCTCTCTCTCTCTCTCTCTCTCTCTCTCTCTCTCTCTCTCTCTCTCTCTCTCTCTC